GGGGACGGGTATTGAGGTCCCCGCCCCATCCCCGCCCCATTGCCATCCCTAGACTCACATACTTTTCTACGTGGTATCAAAGTGCTATAGTACTTTGAACAATGACAATCAAATATCATGATGAACTAAGGTGTCGTTTACCCAAATGCTTACCCGGTAAGCGCTTGTGTTAGGAGTCAACACTATAATTTATTTTACCAGGTAAGATTGTAGCATATCAAAAAGGTATCGTTTATAACAATTTACCCGTTAAACGCTTACCTGGGTAAGAGTCATCACCATCACTTATCGGGTAAGACTCTCTATCCTTATCATTACTCTTACTAGATACATTTTTCGGCCCTTGCCATGTTTCATCAGGTGAGGAAAATTACCCGATAAGCACTTACCGAGTAAATGTTTAGTAAACGGCCCCTAAATGAAATTACAGGTGAGGATGCTCGTCGAACAAGAAAGAAAGAAACAAAAAACAAGAAAGAGAAAGATTATTAAAGAGTGCTATGCTTTGTAAATTAGCTATTTGGAAACTAAAGATGAATGGGACTAGATGACTATGGGAGATCAATTAGAGTCCTAAGAATAAGGAATTTCAGATTTGCAGTCATATCGAGAATCAATAATCGATCTGGTAAAAGAGGGAAGAGATTGGGGGCACTGGAATAAATTGCTAAAACATTATAATTGCTAAATAGACTAAATTAATAACAATATTAAAAAAAACCTAGGAACCGTTTACCAAACGCTTATCCGGGTAAATTCTTATCAAGTCACATTATCTTACTGGATGAATATGTTAAGGATCAAAAATCTTACCTGGTAAGTACAAGGCAAGGACAAAGAGTCTTACCCTGTAAGTAAGGTGGTTAGCGCTTACCGAGTTCAATGTTGCATATGATGCCGTTTTAATAGACTAAAATCTTATTCGATAAGTAAATGATGATATTAAATTTTACCAATAAACACTTATCAAATAAATATTTGATAAACGACCTCATAATTTATACTCCAAAACATAAAAAAGAAACTATTGGTGTATTATATTAACTTTATGGACCATGAAAAATAACTTTGGTTGATAATTAATTTCAAATATCTTAAAAGTGAAAATGAAACAAGAAACTCATACAAGAACCGCCAGTCGCTAGTATAACAAACCGGCTTCAAATTACAGTAGTATCAATCTGAAAATGGAAGAAACCCTAGTTACACCATCCGAACCACCACCACTACCATCCGACGGGGATTTGATGGATGTTGCGACCGAAGCTCATAACCCTAATAACAGTCAGTCTGCCTCAAATTCCGATTCCGGCTCCGACTCGGAATCGGATGATGAAGCTCAAGCTGCTCTCGAATTACAAAACCTAGAAGCGGAGCTCTCCACCAACCCAGCCAACTACGATGCTCATGTTCAAGTATTTTTTTTGTGATTTTTTTGGTTGTTTGGTGTTACGTGCTGAATTGGATTGTAGTTGATGCGTATTCTTTTCATGTATGGTGTGTATATGTAGTATATTAAGGCTTTGAGGAAGCAAGGTGATATTGACAAGCTGCGGTTAGCAAGGGAGGCTATGAGTGAGCTCTTCCCTCTAGCTCCTGCAATGTGGCAGCAATGGACAAATGACGAAATTTCGCTCATCTCGACATCTGGGTAAGCTTTTAATTCCTCTTCTTTTGTAGATTGTTAATAATACCCTTGTATATTTATCGTTCGTATAAGCTTCTATTTTCTCCAAGACATAGATGATGGGTGCAAATACCTTGGCTAGCATAAAGAGCACATTCAAAACCCTATGGATCATCAAGATATCTAACTTATTAACCGTACAGTGAAACTATGAATTATTAAAGAGGTTTGAGGTGATACTAAAGTGTCACAAAAGTTAAATTTGTTTTGGGCAATATCAACATCATAAACTATTTTCATAATTAGGGGACTTGCAAGATATTAGGTGTGTAGAAAGGAATTAAACATGATCGGAAAAGAAAGTATCTTGGTACCAAGAGAATTAATGCAGTGGCCTTTAAAGGGGAAGGGAATTCCTACAATGTATATGAATGTTAGTAAAGATGCTTATGATGTAGTAATGAAGGTGAATGCATTCTAAGCAAGATAAAAGTTTCTTATCAGTGTAGAGTTATACCATGGTTCAACATTGAGTGTTATAGTTTCAATATAGTCAGGCATGAACTGAAAAGAAGACATACGGGGTACTAAAGATTTATGTTTTTGTTGGTCATATCATGTTGATTGACGAGACTATGCAATGTTTTAGTGCAATGTGGAGAAACACATTGAAAGTTTTAGGTATTAGATTAGGTCGTAATAAAAACTAGTGTATTTGAAGTGCATTTTAAGAATGTAAGGTGTAGTGAGTCTATTTGGATGGCATGTAGTTGGGATATATATATATATATATATATATATTCCATTATATGTAATGAGGAAAAGAGAAGGATGAAAATATTTGCCACATGCTTTTCAATTCTTGTTTGATCCATTAGTTTGGTTAAAACCCAAAAGGTATTTTCTACAAGATGGGCATATCTACTGGGAAAACTGTAGCGACAGCCCACAGGCCACAAGGCAACGTGTACAAACGCTGTGCAGTAGAAATACAGGTTTAGGTATAGTGAAGAGTGAATCCAAAATTGTAGGGTGATACTTATTGATAATAAGCTAGGGCAACAATGTTTTCTTGATGCAGGTTTAGAAAAGGATATTGGAATCAAGATAAGGTAAGGCTGACTGAGATTGACATGGGGATAGTAACAAAGAGAATATTTGAGTAGATATGCAAAGAAGTTGGTTTTAGATAGGAGCTTGTGGAAGGCTGCTATTTATGTCAGAGGATGTTTGAAGAATTCGTTTCTTTATGTCTTCTATATAATTTCTTGTTTTAAGCTTTTTGGGTTCATTCTTGGCATACCCCAACTAGTTTGTGATAAAAGACTGGTTAAAATTTGCTGTGCATAATGCAGGCATGAGGGTGCAATTCCTACAATTGAGAAGCTCTATGAGCGTGGCGTGTCTGATTACTTGGTAAGCTCTATTTTGTTTTAAGATAGTTGTTATGTTTTATTTGTCTTTCCCCTCTAGTGTATTGACCGAAAGGGAAGTTTAATTGTGTAGTATATGTAATTTAGGGTGCTCGGTGCTCCTACTGGAGATTGTCATTTTTATAAATATTTTGTGAAATATTTATAATTCCCGAGACAAGTAACAGCTATTACTTATATCATAACTGATAGTGGACTTTATGTTTTTACTAGAGTGGCACACATACCATGACTAGTATGAAGGTAGGCCTAGGGGATGATCAAGAGTTCTGAATGACTAAGGGTCTCTATCTGGAATTGGTGCTAAACGAAAAATAAAGTATGATCTGTATGGATTATTTGATGATGTAATCACCATTACAATTCTTTCAACCAATTTTTATAAAATTGCATGATAAAAGTGAAGTGGTTTGGTAGATTCTATCTTCACCTTGCCATTTTTGTTGGATGATTCTTTTCAGTAAAATAAGATAAGTGAAGGAAAGGGCATAAGAAATATTGTATCTGGTTCATACCAATTTTTAAGTTTCCATAAGAGTGCGTCATTCTAATAAACACCCATTTCTTTATCCCGAATGTCTCCAGAGGTTCATCCCCAATATCTTGGTGCATCCCTTGTGTTAGAAACATTTGGAATATGAATAAACCAAAATTGAAGAAGTCGAAGGAGGTACAATGATAAAATCAAAAGAGGATATGCAGTGATAAAGAAGCACTGATTTTAGAGGCCAGTGACAAAATTGAAGAATAAATGGGAAGAGATGCGCATTTTGGAAAAGAGGCACTGATTTCAGCCTCTTAATTGTTATGGGAGGCTTTCTCTCTTAACTATTCAGTAACTCCTTAACCAGTAACATCTTAACAATTAAGAAGCATTGCAGCTACTATTGATTCTCTTACTCCCAATTGGGTAGCCTTCCCTGGTCTCGTGGTGTTGTTCTATTTTTAACCAACAACAAGGACATCAATGTCTGACCAATTCAGATGCATTTAACACTAAGCACCCACCCACRGACCCACCAAGTTGAGTCTATTTTGCAAAGTAAATGCATGAACACAAATGCAGAAATTGTGGAAACACCATATTCCACTACAAATTGAAATAGTTGATGGATGAAGAGATGCAACACATCAGCAGATATGTGGTAAATATATATTGTTTTGACCTAGATTGCTTATGAAATGTAGAGCCATGAACACTTGGTAGTTGGTATTATCACTTGTTGAGCTGGAATTTATGCTTACTGGTTTTCTTTTAAGCTTCACTTAACCCTACATAATAAATGGCCTTATTTTGAGAACATTTGATCAGGTAAGAAACTATTGCTGTACACTACAATTTAACAGATCTTAATCCAGAATTTATTTCCTGTATAGTATAACATTTTTTCCTAGCTTCTTTCCAACATTCTGATGTTATGTTTTGCTTATTCCTATTATAGTTGGTATTTTAGTAACTTTTTGGTTATGACCTCTTGTTCCTTTACTTGGTTAGGAATTATTACTATCAACATGGATGTGTTTTTGTCTACTAATAGTATTTTTATTTCTTTAAACTGGAGGACGAAATTGGTGACTTTGGAATCTTTTTAAACATGGAACTTATGGAGTGGAAATTTATTGGATATTGGTAACTTTTTGTGTTGTAGCTATCAGTATATTAGAATTTCTTATAGTTATATATAATCATGTAAAGATGCATATTAGAGAACTTGGAAATATCTAGATTAAAATAGCATTTCTTAGAATTTTGGGATACATAAAGCATTCTTGCTGTTGGTTTATCAAGTTCATAGATATTTATGTTGCATTGACATGATAGACATATCTATGTTGTATCTAGGCATGTCAATGTTGTTAATTTAATGGTAAAACAATCATGGATTTGGTTTTTTTTGAGCAGATCCTTTCCTTCAGAAAGAAGTACCAATTCTGTAGTTTTCGAATAAGCAAAGGAATAAAATGTTTTAATTCATCTTTCTATTGATGAATGAACTGAAGTCGTTATGTCATGGCTATGAAATTCTCTTCTGACTCATATTGACTTGCATCTTGCATAGTTAATTTTCTTTCATGAGAACTAAAATGATTGATTGCTTTTTGCAGTCCGTTTCTCTGTGGTATGACTATCTGAATTTCATTCAAAAATATGATTCTTCTGTCCGTGAATGTTCACCCACTGGGATCTCAAAGGCAAGGGACCTGTTTGAGCGTGCTCTTATCGCATGTGGTTTGCATGTTGCTGAAGGCAGTAAATTATGGGAAGCATACAAAAGTTATGAGGAAGCCGTCCTTAATAGCATGGATACGATGGACTTTGAGGTATGAACTTGGGTTGACAATTCTCTTTCTGCAGGTTATGGATGCTTTTTAGTTGTTGCTGTTTTTGATTTTTCTTTCTTTTTAATTATGGTTTTACAAACATGGGATCAACTTCTTATATAGAAAGTTTGAACTCCCATATTCTGCTTTTGTTTAGTTTTGGAGGGAGGGCAAGTGGAGAAAAGGTTGAAGCAGTAATTCGGGTCCAACATTTGCCAAACCTGAAGTCTTTTTCCTTCCATTATTTTTTAGGCTCAGTTGTATTTACTTGTACATATTACCTCTAGCAGTACTAGGTCTGAGTTAATGTGTAATCCATATGTTGGTCATTTGTTATCATATTTTTTGCACTATAAATATTTCTGTAGTTTCTATGCCTATCTTGCGTTTTTATATCTCAGGTTGCTTTAATGTTGGTTACAGTCGCGGGAAAAGCAGGTCCAAAGGATTCGAAATATATTTCATCGACACTTGTCGATTCCTCATCGAGACCTGATGTCAACTCTTCTCACCTATAAGGCTTGGGAGGCTGAACATGGGAACACTCTTGACGTCAGTAGTAGCAGTACAGAAGGAATTTCCGCCAATGTTGCTTCCGCATATCAGAAGGCTATAGAGATGTTGAGTATGCGTGCTGATTTTGAAGAAAAAATTGTAAAAAATGACATGGCTGATACAGAGCGGCTTCAAAGTTTCATGGTGCGCCAGTGTGACTTAGGGGTCCCTTTACCAAACGCTAACTGGGTATATGCTTACCGGGCACTTACCTTACCGGGTAATCATGGCAAGGATCGAGAATCTTACCTTGTAAGAGGCATGACAAGGACTGACAATCTTACCCGGTAAGTGAGGGTGGTGACTCTTACCTGGTTCACGGTTACCGGGTAAGATTATCGCCTACTATGCCATTTTGATGGCCGAGAATCTTACCCATTAAGGTAAGTGAGAGTGGTGACCCTTACCGGTAAGAGCTTACCCGATGACTGTTTGGTAAGCAGCCCTTTAGTATACTCTGTTCATATTTCTGTAAGATATTCTGCAACCAGTGAGGCACATGTATACTGCTGTAAGGTTGATGATATTTGTCTTGTTATTGCAGGCTTATTTGAAATTCGAACAGTCCTGTGGAGATCCTGCTCGAGTTAAAAGCTTGTATGAACGTGCAATTACTGAATTTCCTATATCCAGTGATCTCTGGATTGATTATACCCACTACCTCAATAAGACCCTAAAGGTTTTAGTTGATTTTTTTCTCTTTTGGTGCTTTTATTGTAATTATCTAAACTTTAATGATCTTGTATCTTTTCATTGCTAGGCAGACAAAACTTTGAGGGATATTTTTAACAGGGCAACTAGGAACTGTCCCTGGGTTGGAGAACTATGGGTTCAGTTCATGCTATACCTTGAACGATGTCGTTGTTCTGAGAAAGAGCTTTCTGATGTATGTTTCTGCCATTGGTTCTTTTTCTATATGAAGTACAAACTACTGTTGAGTGATAAGGTCTTTATTTTTTTTATAAATGAATTACTGAAAAGGTCTAGTCACACTCAAGAAAACAAAAATTGACAAGAAGCAGTTTGATTGTGCTTGTTTCATGAACTTAACAAGTTGGTGATGGGTATAAGCATCGACTCGCATAACCTTTGATCGATCTACCTTGTTTTTCCCCTAAGCCCTAAAAAACCCTCTCATATCCCACCTAGAAATAGGGTATTGGGGTAAGCTGTATGCAGACCCTTTCTCTTCCTCAAACTTATTTTTGCAAATTTTGTTAAATATTATTTTATTATTCTTATATATAATTGGAAAAGACTGCAAAAGACCTATCTAGGCCCTAGCTAAAAACACGCACATAACAGTCCAAAGAAACCTTTTATATTTATCATACGCTACTAAGCAGGTCTGTGCCAAAACATAACATGTGATGATTGAACTGGATATTCAATTGTCTGTGGTGGTGTAAAGAACATGGGCAAAGGTTAATGTTCGTACTAATTATCTTTTATCTTGCTGTTTTTAATTCTTAAATTTGAACCTAATTTACTTAATTCAATTCTATGTAAGCTATTAAAAAATGTTCCATGATTTGTGATACTTCAGGATCACTTTAAATTTCTTTAATTGTTCACTTCTCATACATTCTTTTTACCAAAATGTCTGCACATGATAAGGTAGCACAGAAAACTTATGTTTTCTTTATAAAAGCAATTATGATTTTTTATTATTTAGTTGCATTGTGTAATGTTGGTTGAGGAGTGTAATATAACTTCGAGGTTAAACAAATTATGTTACGAGTTGTTATCATTATTGCAGTACTGGTACCTAATTTTCACCCAATTCAGGTTTTTGAGAGATCTCTGCTATGCACATTTTCTACCATAGATGAGGTATAAAATACTTCTCCCTTTCTCTATATCCTTGTTGTATAACCATTTAATATGTTGGCAAACACTACCACCGTTTTCTTATGTCAACTGTCTATGGAAGCATTTTGCATAAGTAAAAGTGGATGTTTTGCTACGATGTTCATATGGATTGTAAAATGAGCATTCAATGTCCTTGAAAGAGAAAAGGTTCTTATTTAATGTCTTCTCAATCATAGGTTATATAGATTGTTGTCTGTGGGTGCATTACATTTGTCAAATACATTTGAGATATGACCATGAATGCTGTTAAGTTATGGGTTTACTTTAATTTCAGTATGTAGACATATTTCTCACAAGAGTTGATGGCTTGAGGAGGAGAATCTTGTTTGCCAAAGAACTGGACGATGGCTTAGATTATGCCTTGATACGGGATACTTTTCAGGTTTGTCTTGTTCTCATATAGTCATATTCCGGTCAGACTAGCTTAGTTTCTTGGCTATTACTATGTCCAACAAAGATTTATATTCAGTGGTAACCTTCCTGTGTTCCTATTTGATAAATGATGCTTGTTTTTTTCACTTTTAGGTAGAAAAATGCTTCTAATAGAACACATATGAACTGCAGAACTACAATATCTGTATTTGACTACATATAAATTACTATTAGCTTATTTAATCATTTCAGATTACGTTATTTGGTTATGTTTATCCACCTTTATATTTATCATTGGTTGCCAATGCTATTGTTTGGTTATTTATTAAGGCTATGTAAAATTCCCCTAAATAACCATTAACCAGAACATTGTAAGAAAAGTTAATTCTATGTGTTTGGGATGTTGAGGTGAGAATATCATGAGTCTATCTTATCAAGCAATCACTTCACTGCAGAAAAGCACAATTTTGGCTTCCACTTTTTTATCATTTATCAAGTATGAAAGGTCTTTAATGTGGGAAGTATTGAAGTCAAATTTATATAGAAGATGAAAAGTAGAGGTGCTCAACATTGTTTACTTGATGAGCAATTACGCCATAATATAGGTACTATAAGTTAAGTTAGCTGTTTTTAGATGTTAGTTATTTTTAGGTTTTTAGATTGTTGATGACTTGCTAATCATAGACGGAGCTTTTTCTTGTCTTACTTTGGGTTACTCTTTTGCAATTAAGTAGATTCTTTTTGGGTCCAGAATGTTCTTTTTTCTGATGATGGGATTTGGGCGTTTCAAAAAGCATATAAATGACTGGGATTTGAAGGTGCAGGCTGTCTAATTATTAGGGCTGTAGTCGACTGGTTAGTGTGCTTTTGTGGGTAACACATGTTTGCTCGGAGAAGCTAGAGGCAAAATTTAGTGACTTGTAGTGTTGAATCTGAGTGTTGCACGAGATGTCGTTTGTGATTTTCCATAGATTATCAGGGTATTACAAAAGTTCAAGGTTCACTTGGATAGATATAAGACTTCTGTTTGAAGATCAATATATTTGCTTGCTTTGTTGTATCATAAGGACAAAATGTGTCTGTTTTCTTGTTGTATATTTCTGTTCCAGGTAGAAACTAATTTACATGCCTGATGTTCTTGAATAATTACAACTTCTTTGTGGATGTAGCAATTCAATTTTGTACCAATCCCCTTGTGCTTTAGAACTTTTGTAACATGACTGGAAAATCAAATAAGCAAAAAGTTGGCTTAAAGTTTTATCTCTTTGTTCTCGTTTAATAAATTTCTCGGATACAACACATCTAAACTTAGAAGTTGTATCTCATATCTTGTCAAGTTATTTTATCCTATCTTTACTTCAGTGATTGCATTGTTTGCTTCAATCTTTGGATATTGGATAACCTAAACTACTTATTCAACTACCTATATGACTCTTCATTTTTCTATTTACATCTATCATTTTATTGACTGTAAACTTATGATAGTTTGATCATTGTTCTAATAGAAGTATTGAAAGATTTCAAAAGATTTTTCTACTCTTAATTGTATGATTAAGAGGTTCCAGCACTTCAAGAGGCTGTGATCTCCCAAGGCTCTTGCTCTTTTCAGTGATTACAATCTAGTGCCTTCCCCTGTCCCCTTTCTCTCTAATATATACTTCCTTCTAACTGATTTCCCCTCACATTATGATGAAGTCCAACAAACTGTCCCAATCCCTCTGCTGGGAAGGTATCTAGTTAATACCCGACTATAGTCTAACTATAACTTACTAACTATCATTACCTTTGCATCTGTAACATTACCCCGCCCCCAACATTCACCTTGTCCTCAAGGTGGAAAAAACAAACAAACTGATGCACTACTGGAACTGAAAATTGGAGACTTATCACTTTTTTTTCCCTTAGGACTCTATTAACTCCATCCTTGCACCATCCCATGAAGTCCCTGACCTCCGTCTGATGTTTAGCCAACAAACTACCATTTCCTTTCAAAACAAATTCCAACAGACCCAGCATTACAGCCCTTACATCTTGAGTGACGGCCTCATTTGCAACATGATGGACTGGACATCCATTTTGGAAAGTCCTTCCATGATGATAGTCATTTCTCTCTTTAGAGGATATGTAACTTCCGGAGTACCAATTAGTTCAGAATCATATGCCCACAGGTACGCCCATCTTTGCATTATCTTCTAGACCGACCAAAAACCTTTCAATATCGGTTGGGATGGTAACCTCTTTCTGAACCAGAACACTTCTGTTTCCAACCAAAATTTGCTTCTGATTGATGTCAGACCCGATGCCTTTTCTGGGAATCGCACGGAAATCCAGCGTATCAAGAAACCATCTACTCGTTGTGGACTCATTGCTTTCAAATTTTGAATCTTTGGTTACAATAGGATCCCCGAAAAAACAGAAAGTCCTAGCGTATTCCGGTATTCATTTTGCCATTGGATGTTTACTGATATTCTCAGTACAAGCGGCAAACTCGAAGGTAATTGTGGTAATTGTGGCTTTATTCTGAGTTAGAGCCTGGTTTTATCCAATATCACACATATTGTCTCTTGAAGGTCCTTTCTAATGTATCTCCTTCTTTGATCAAAACATCAACTCCTGTTATAACCATGCTAGTAGTTGGGGGGCTATCCAGACCAAGTCCTGAGGACATACAACCACGATTATTAAAAAGATGAGTGCAAATCCAAGTAGTTGACAGTTTGAGGTAGACAGACTTCACCTATTTTGTTTTCAACCAACTTTTTAGAAATAAAATTGTAGGTGGCACCAATATCAATGAATACCACTACACTAAGCCCCTCAATAGTGCACAGTAACTTCATTTTTCCGACTAATTAATCCTACTACAGGATTTCAGTGCACCTTGATTTTTGGTTCCCCATCTGTGGCTCCACCACTGTCCATAAACTCTAAATTTCCCTCCATATTCTTCATGAATTCTCCCTGTTTTAGGGCTGACAACGATGTTGTGAGGACGTTGTTGGCGATAGTGAGTACGGTGGTGAGAACAGTGACAACAGTGAAGACAGTCCTGGCGGCGGTGGTAGCGGTTTCCAATGATCATCACTCAACTTATCTATCCCATACGCCATCAACGATGCGAAGTCTGTCGAGAATTTGATGGTTTTGGCCTAACCCAACCATTCCTCTTTGGAATCAATTTCCTTTTTCTCTATGCTCTCTCTTCTTCCTTCTTTCTGTATTTTCACCATTTTGCATCTTACTGGAAGGTGGAAACACATAGTCAAGATCCTGACACACCATCGTACTCGGGATCTCCTGAGTCACACCTAATACGCTTGATATCCAGAAAGAATCAAGTAGATGCAGAAATTTCATGCAGTTAGGATTTATTTCTCGACAGTTTCGGGTTTCGATTGGAGAGATCCGCGCCCTTTGTGGATTGGAAACCTGGCTGAAAAAGATCCGGATGCATTCCATAGCCGAACCAACTTGAATCGCTTTCACAATAATTGATTGAATCTCCATTTTCTTTATTATTCTCCTCTTCCATTGGTTCAATACGAGCTAACATCTTCTTCTAGATGCCCTTGGTTACGTCCAAAGCAGAATGCATCTCTGTTAACCTTTCCATCATTTAGTTAACAATAACGAGCATGCCTGGGTCACCTCTAGGATCGACTGCTCTGATACCACTTGATGTACATTCATCATTCTAATAGCAGTATCAAAAGATTTCATATAATTGTCTACTCTTAATCAAATGATAAAGAGGTACAGCATTTCGTGAGGTTGTGATCTCCCAAGGCTCCTTCCCTTTTCTGTGTTTACAAAGCTGATGACTTCCCATGCTCCCTTTCTCTCTTTTGTATGCTCCCTTTTAATAGATTTCCCCTCACACTATGATGAAGTCCAATAAATTATCCCCAACCCTCCACTAGGAAGGTATCTGTTTAAATTCCCAGCATACCCTTTTCAACTAGTACTGACTATAGTCTAACTTTGGCTTATTGGCATAGCTACTACTATCACTACGATTGCATGTGTAACATAGTTTATGGTCTATCCAGAGGGCATGTGATTATTTGTCACCACAGTTAAAGAACACGTACAGTTTGTTGCAAATACATAGATACTGGGCCCGCCTGGAGTCTAGTATTGGGAATGATATAACTGCAGCTCGTGGAGTATGGGAGAGTTTGCTTAAGAACAGGTTCGGAGTTCTTTTTTTTATAAAGTCAGTATGAACTTTTTGTTCTTATTCTCTTCCATGCTAATGATGTTTCTGGCGAACCTTTTATTTTGTAGTGGGTCTATGTTAGAAGCCTGGCAAGGCTATATATCAATGGAAACTGAGATGGGGCACATAAATGAAGCTAGATCTTTGTATAAACGATGCTATAGTAAAAGGTTTTCTGGGACAGGCTCTGAGGTACATCTTTTTTTTGTTGTATTACAGAGCATTATCTGTCTTTGGTTCCTTACCTTTTTGCTTCTAACCTATTTATATATATATATATATATAT